AGGGGAGTTGAGAAAACGTCCTGATAGATGAGCTGTCCAAACAGAGCTGTTGTCTAAGCAGAACCTGCCTCTCTGAGGGTGAAGCTTTCAGGCACCCACTCGCCCCAGAGGAAGCCTTCTCCTTACAAATGAGCGGAAAGACTCTAGTTAAAGTCATTCACATAGCTCCAGACTCGGGGGACTCAAGACAGGTCAGGATTTCATGCTGGAAAACGAAAACCAAATAAATAAAACTCTCCATCATGGCAAAAGGCCAGTTCAACTGAACTGTGGGAGTAAAGGTCCAAAACATTCCTGGCTTCTGTGGAAGCTTCTGGAACAAATTCAGAGTCCTATGTACTCAGCTGGCCCGAGTTGGGCTGGAGAAGGGCGTTATTATTGCATAAATTCATCTCTTATTTTCTTATTATATTGATTTCCTTCGCCGTGGACATTTGTTTGGCATTTGTACTTACTAGGGAACTACTGGAAGGAATGCCTTGATAATATTGTAAAATAATGCTTTGGCCTGACTTAAAACGGAAACATTTATAGCATTCCTGCTGATGCCAGATGGTGTCAGGCCGACTACTGTGCTGCCGCTTCAAAAACACGTGGAGGCGAGGGAAACCTCAACGAGCCCCAGTGAGCCAGACCCTCAGGCTTGTCCTGCATACACACAGCGTGGTAGGGCTTGATTCAGAGTTGCCATGGAAACCACCCTGAGGCGCATCTATGAGGGTGTTGCAGAAAGGTTTAACTGGGTGTGGTATCAGCATCCCATAAGTCGAAGTCCTGGACTGAATAAGAAGGAAAAAGAGAACCATGCACCAGAGGTCATTTGTTTCTGCTTCCTGGCTGTGGGAGCAATGTGACCAGCTGCCTCCCTTGGGGATGTATCCCCTCAAACTGTGAGCTAAAACAAATTCTTTCCTTCTTAAGTTAGCCTTGTCGGGTGTTTTAGTCACAGCGAGGGGAAAACTAACTAACATGCGTGCTCATCCCCTCTGCCGCCTGAGCCCGCTGTAAAGCTCACACACATCCGTCCACACGGTGGGCGTCCAGGTGTGGTGGCTCTGACTGTTAAGGATTTCTGTGTCTCTGCATCTCAGGTGGAGACAAAAGACTTTGGAGATGACCCAGATACTGCTGTGTACAAATGTTCGCATCCCCTCCCAGCCAGGGCCTTGTAACTCGAAGCACTCTGTGATCAGACATCCATGGATTGTTCCCTACTTTTATTCCCTACCGGTTTTTTCTCCTGACTTCTCTTTTTCAGAGCTGAGGACTGAACCCAGGGCCTGGCTCTTGCTAGCCAAGCATCTGCCACTGCTGTTTTTAGCTTCTTCTTCCTATACTAAGCCAGACCTATTAAACTGCTTAACTACATTCTAGGCTTAGTCTGGAAGCCTCAGCCCCCACAGTGGGGGTAGCACTCAACGCAGTAAGCCACCATGCTCAGAAGAATCCTATAACTCCCCAACCCAAAGGCTCCAAGCCCCCGGCATCTGGAGGGCGACACAGGCTGGGGTGCAGTCTTCAGCCCACCGCTGCCGTCCCAGCAGTGCTCTGTTCTGCTGCTCACCTAGGGCATCGGGAGAACTACGGAAAACTGAGGTGAATGTGAGGGTCAGAGGAAAGAGGTTTCATGTCAGAGAAAGATCGTCAGTTTGTGGAAAAGAGCAGAACCAACTGCAGGAATCTCCAAAGACTACAGGACGAAGTGTAATGGGCCCTGTGGACCAGGGGTAGGAGGGAAGGCAGGGGCGGCCTGTCCAGGCCTGCGGTTCCGGACAGACAACCACATCCTCAGCATCCACCAGAGGGCCCAGAGTTTGAGTTGAACCAGGAAACACCGGGCCTGTTTCATGGAGCTCCTATATTAGTCTGCCTGGGCTGTTCAAAACAGAATACTACAGGAGTTGTACAAACAAGGACTTTAGTTTTCATAGTTCTTGGGTCTAGAAAATTAGGATGAAGGTCTATGGCCAATTAGATTTCTATAAGGGCCTCTTCCTGTCTTGGAGACACACACACAAACACACACACACACACACACAGACAGAGACAGAGAGACAGAGAGACAGAGACAGAGACAGAAAGAGAGAGTGTTCCTGATGCCTCAATTGTCAGGTGTTTGGGGTGAAACTTTGTCCTCCGTGTGGTGGTGTTGAAGTAGTTAAACCTGTAAGAGAGTGGTGGTTAGATGACTGCGATGTTGCCTGTGGGGGCTTCAATGAGAATGGTCCCTAAGGCTCATATATTTCAATACTCCGGCAGAGGTTGGTGGAACTGTTTGGGAAGGACTGGGAGGTGTGGCACTGTTGGAGGAGATGCATCTATGGAGCTGAACTTTGAGGTCTCAAAACCCAGGGCCATTCCCAGCACCTGTCTCTTTGTGCCTTGTGACCGTGGATGAAGATGTAGGTCTCAGCTCCTTCTCCAGTGCCATGCCTCTCTGCCTGTTGCCGTGATCCCCATCATGATGGCCTGGACTTACATCCTCTGGGACTATGAGGCCCAGATCAAGAACTTTCTTTTACAAGCCGTGTCTTAGTTGAGGTGTTTTGACACAGCAATTGAAAAGTAACCAAAACCCTGCCCTTGGAAGGTGTTGATGTAGTTCTAGAATCCTGTGTAATTTCTGGGAGAATAAGTTGTACAAGAGAGCAAGGTTGGTCCATCATCCTGCTCTCCAGCTTCTTGTCTCCTACGTAATTTCTCTCTCTTGTTTGCGCCTTAACTGTCATGCCGTCCACTATGATGTGTCTCAGCCAGGGGCTCCTCATCAGAGGCTGAGCAAATGGTTCCACCCTATCTTGGGTGGGTTCCAACCTCCCAAACTGTGACCTAAATAAAACACTTTCAGTATAAAGTACTCAGCTTCAGGTGTTTTGTTATATCAATGGGAGTGTGACTGTATTAAACCTATTGGATCAGGACTCCACCCTATGATGTCATAAGCTCTAAATGCCCTCTTATATGTATTATGACTTTAGACTTTGGAGTATGACTTTTTGGTGGACACAAGCCTATAGTAGGTCCCCAGGACGTGGTGTTCCATTTCTCTAATTGGAAAAGGACCAGTGCTATTTTAGACATTGGTTTGGTCACGGTTTGCTTATGGAACATGTTGAGTGACAGTCACTGCTCTGGGGGGAGGCTGGGGCCGTGAAAGAGGCAGAGCACCTTGCCTGAACAAAAACCTTACCAGAGATGTGAACGTTATTGCACAAGACACACTGAGCTCATGTGTCTGACTTTAGTCTTGAGAGCTGAACAGAACAGAAAAAGGAGGGGTCAGCTGCTGGTGTTAGCCGCTGGTGCACACTGATGTACATACACCCTCTCTTCCCACACTCGTGCAGGGCGTTAACATGGTGGACACTGTGCATGGACGCCCAGCCATTTCCTCTTCCTCTCCTTCACTCTTCAGTCATGAGGTGAGCAGTTTGAGCCCAGCATGTGTTTCTTTTGTTATGTGCAGCTTCACCCAGGGCCCAAAGCAATAGAGCCAATCCCTCACAGATGGGAACCTTTGAAGCTACAAGCCAAAACAAGCCTTTTCTCTCTGTACATTCATAAGCTCAGGCATTTGTTATAGTAACAGAAATCTGACTAACACAAACCCCAATCCAAAACCAGACAACGACATTACAAGAAAGGAAAACCACAGACCAATATTCCTCATGGATACAGACACAAAAATCCTTAAGAAAAATACTACCAAATTGAGCACAGCATTTTTTAAGGGACAATACAGCATGACCTAGTGGATCTGTTCCCAGGAATACAAGATTGTTTTATTATTTCAATACCAATCATTTAGAATATCCATCACATTATCAGAATTAATAAGAAAAAAGACAAGGATCTCAGTAGATACAAGGACAGCATTTAACAAAATGTAATGCTTGGTCATGACACAGATTCTCAGAATAGTGGGAAGAGGAGGGGCCTCAGTCTGACACAGGGGTTTGAAAAAAAGAAACCCTTCCAATTAACACTATGAAATGCAGAAGATTTCTTCTGAAATGGACAACATAGCAAGAATGTCCACTCTGACTACAGCCCACGTTTACTGGAAACCACTGTTCACTGGAATCACAAAGCAAAGAAGGCAAACTAATGACTAAAAAAGACTGGAAAGAACTGAGACGAACCTTTGAGCGAACTTCCAGCATCTCCACATACAAGAGCATTTTATAAACTTTAGCTGTATCTCTAGGCACCAATAACAAATAATTGAAAAATAAGATTATCAACAATTCCATTTGACTACAATTGATCAATACTCACAGCCCTCACACATACATGTGTACACTTTCTCTCTCTCTCTCTCTCTCTCTCTCTCTCTCTCTCTCTCTCTCTCTCTGTCTCTCACACACACACACGTACACACACACACTTTGAACTCCTGTGTATCAAATCACAAGACCACAAGAGGCAAAAGGCAAGCTTACAGAATAGAACAAAACATCCTCAGGGCATGTATCTGATAAGAGTCTAGGATCCAGAATACTGAAAGATCTTTCTAGCTCCACAGCAAAAGAAGACACTGACCTAACAGCAAAACAGCCACAGGCCTCTCATCCCCACTTCTCCCACAAACACATGGCGGCAATAAGAGACTCCGCATCATTAGTGCGCACAAACAGCAATGACATAACATCTCATACCAACTTGGATGACCATAAAAAAAATGAAGCAACGTGAGCAAGCGACGATTGGGAACCTTTGCACACTGCAGCTGTGAGCGGTGCCGGCATGCTGGAAAACAGCTCAGCAGTTCCAGCAAAGCTAAGCACAGAGTTATTTTATGACTCAGCAATTCTGTTCCTAGACGTACTGTGGGCACAGTGAACACAGGTAGGTGTTCATGGGTGTAATACTTACAAGACTCAAGCTTGGGTGCTCGCCCATAGGCCCAGAGTTCACAAGACACGTGCATTGGAGACCGTGGGTAGGGTGCTCACAAGACAAAGTACACAGGCGCTCACAGCTTTCACAAGATGCATTACCTTAGGGCTTCTGTTACTGTGTGAAGTATGATCACAGGCACCTTGAGGAAAGGGTTTGTTTCATTCGCTCTTCCACATCACAGTTCATCATCCAAGGCAGTCACGGCAGGAACTCAAACAGGGCAGGGACCTGGAGGCAGGAGCTGACTCAGAGGCCATGGAGGGGAGCTGCTCACTGGCTTGCTCCTCATGGCTTGCTCAGCCTGCTCTCTCATAGAACCTAGACAGGTGGCTCCACCCACAATGGGCTGGGCCCTCCCAATCAATCACTGATTAAGAAAATGCCTCACAGGTTGCCTAAAGCCTGACTTTACAGAGGCATTCTCCCTATTGACGTTTCCTCTTCGCTGAAAACTATAGCTTGTGTCCAGTTGACATAAAAGTTAGCCAGCACACGTGTACATGGGTGCTCATGGGCTCAGGGCTCACAAGACACGGGCTCCACCTCTATAGACCACCCGGAATAGATGAGTCTCAGAGACAGGAAGTAGGTTAGTGACTACAAGGGGAAGTTTGGAAAGTGTGGATACTAATCAGTGTAGAGTTTCTTGGGGAGGGGGTTAGAGGGCACAGGGTTGATGGTTGTACAACCTTGTGAGTGTGCTAAAATTATTCATTTGTATATTTTAAATGTTTTAAACACTTCACGTGTAAAAGTGTTTTGTCTTCATGGTTGTAAATGTATTATAGGTGTATTGCATGTGTCCCTGTTGCCTATAGAGATCAGGAGAGGGCATCAGATTTCCTGGAACCAGATTTACGGATGGTTGTGAGTGCCATGTGAGTTCTGGGAAGCAAACCCAGGCCTTCTGCAAGATCAGCAAGTGCTCTTAACTGCTGTGTGTGTGTGTGTGTGTGTGTGTGTGTGTGTGTGTGTGTGTGTGTTTGTGTTTACTTCTGGAACTCGATATGTAGACCAAGCTGCCCTCCTGGCAATCCTCCTGCCTCAGCCATGAGCACTAAGGCAGGAACCAGCAGCATCCCTTCATATCGGCAGCATACTGCAAAGCACTTCTGTGTAAAGCTTCAGAAGTGTGGGACCATGCCTTCTGAAGATGGGTGCATTGCGGCCTCTGACATTCTTGAACTGACCCTTGTGCACTGATGTCAGACCTAGAACCCCGGACTCCAAGTCCAGGACTTCTGCCTTATTCTCAGGCCCAGACTTAAGCGAACAAAGGATCAGCCACTAATTATGAGGGAGGTAAATCTGCATGGAAATAACCTTTACTGAATTTACGGAGGGGTGAAAGAGGCAGCCAGGTGTTTTGTCCATGAGTGCATGATGCTGTGCTTACTAAGGGGCTGTCCTGCTGTCCCAGAAGGCCCTGGGAGATCCAGAGCTAAAAGGCCAGTTGGATTCTGCTTAATTTTGCTTCATTGGGAAGCATTAAAACTCTTACAAATAAATGAGGCAAACTATGATGTGTATTTGACAAAGGACTGAACCTGCAGGGGACTGAATCAAAGTCTGGCTGATAGTCTCCCTGCGCCTGGCCATTTAGGGTCTGGTTTTCTGTGCTAGCTCATATGGAGGTGCAGGTCTTATGCTAGCAAAGCACGTGAAGGCTGGAAGAGACCCGCAACAGGCAGAAGACAGGAGGCCAGGACACTGTGAGGAGGTCAGGGTCAGGGCCAGGGCCAGGGTCAGGGTCAGGGTCAGGGTCAGGGTCAGGGTGAAATAACCACAGCCTGAGTGACTCGCACTGGATGGAAATCAGAGTGCTGTGAATTTATAAACTCACAAATCTCTGCAGGAAGGGATGGACTGGACTCTGCACTGTGTCAGGTGGGGGGCTTGGTATCTGGTCACAGCTGGCTACCGCTGGAAACAACTGCTTCCTTTCCATCTCTACTGGGTAGATGTAGTGAGCAGGCATTCAGGGTCTTTTCCAAAGAATTTCTTCAGGGAAACTGCAATACACCATTTCTTAAAGTAGGTGCCACTTTGACAATCATTTCTTGCTTTTTCAAGTCCTATTCAACAAGTAATGAGTTGCCTTTGGAATCGTAAACAAGTTAATCGAGGATTTCAAAGTACATACTGATAGATCCTGTGGGTTGTATAATAGATATCAGCAATTGATTAAAGGCCAAGAGCACATGAGTGCATGCTCCGCTGTGGCCGCGGCTCCTTGGCATTCCTGTGGTCTGGAAGGCTGTGCTAAGATTCCTGAGCGTGATGGCTAAGCTCACAGCCTTTAGGATCACCTAGAAGACATCTGCTTGTGTCTTTGAGGGCATGTCTAAAGAGGTTTAACTGAGGAGGGAACATTCATTCTAAATACGGGCAACACATTTTGATGAATTGGGGACCTGGACGGAAGACAAAGGAGGAAGTGAGGTGAGCACTTGCATTCTCTCTGCGCTTCCTGACTCTGGATGCAACGTGGCCAGCTGTCGCATGCTCCCAATGCGATGCCACGTCACCACCCTGAATGCCTCATGCTCCCGATACCATGCTGCCAACCTGTCCTGCTGTGGTGGACTGTACTCTCAAACTGTGTGCCCAAAATGAATCTTTCTCCCTTTAAATTACTCTTATGGGGCTATTTGGTTATTGTAATGAGAAAAACAAACAATACAATGAGTGATATTTCCCTTCATAATATCTGGCAAAGTTCTGGCTACTCCACAGCAGACAGGGGTGAAGATGGCTTTCAAGCCTTCATTATTCTTTATCTAAGTTTTAAAATAGTTCAGATTTTCAGACTAGGTGCAAAAACCCTACACACACTTCCCATAACCCCAACACCTAGGTCCCCTACTGATACCCTTACCCTTAGTATAGTGTATTTGTTAGAACTAATAAACTAGTGTTGACATGCAGGCCAGAGTTCTTGGGGCCACATGGAAAGTCCCAAGGCCTCTGCAGGATGTCCTCCTCAGTGCCCCATCCTGTCCTTATCACAGCTGCAGGGAGCCTGGGCCGCATTCCTCCCTGCTGAGTCATGGTTGCAGGCCTGGGCTCCCTGCTTTGGAAACCAGGCATCTTTGGCTTGTCCTTTTCTTCTCCATGCACGTTACAAATGTTTCAATTGGTGTAGAAAATGACGATCATCCAAGGAAAGTTTTCTGTTCTTAACTTGCCCTCATGTCTTTTCTATGTCCTCAAAACTCTAGCCTGTTCTCTCCCTGTTTGATTAAAACATGACAATACACCTCTTTACTTACATCCCCCAATATTCCAACACCATTTTTGGTGACGAGAGCCTACCTGGTCTGCTCGGTCCAGTTCCATCATCTTTCCGGTGCATTTCTGACTGTCATGCTTATCAGTGTCTTCTTGGCCCTTCTCCTGGGCTCTACCACTGTTTATATTTACCCCTCCCCCTTCTGACATAAGGTTGGGACTCTCCATGTGACTCAGGCTGGCTTGAATTTGCTGTGATTGCTCAGGCTAGCCTCACAATCCTCCTGCCTCAGCCTCCCAAGCGCTGGGATTACAGGTGTGTGTCACCATGCCCAGCTACCTCGGTCATCATTTAAACTCTCACAGGCAGGGTGCATCTTGCCATTCTAAGGTGGATGGATAAAGAAATGAAACGGGGCTGGTTTGACAGTAGCACGCTTGGTGCATAGGCGTGGGAACAGAGAGTGCAAATATCCAGCACCTAGAAAAAGGCCAGGTGTGGCTATGCGCATCTGTAACACCGGCACAGCGGGGGCAGACACAGGAAGATCACCGGGGTTTGCTGGCCACCAGCCCACATCAGGTTCAGTGAGAGGTCCGCCTCAAGGTCTTTTAAGATGGAGAATGAGAGAGCAGGATCACTTGAAGCCCTGCGTTGGCCCACATATGCACCACACGCACATATCACACACACACACACACACACACACATACACATGTGCACCACATGCACATATCACATATCACACACATACACGCACTCACACACACTCACACATACACATGTGCACGCACACTCACACACACGCACACACATAAACACATACACACATGCACACACATACATTAACACACATACACACTTACACACATACACATACTCACATACACACACATACACACACATGCACACACTCACACACATACATGAAAGGGAGGGAGGGGGAGAGAGGAAGGAAGGAAGAGAGAGAGAAGAAAGGAGGAAGGAAGAAAGGAAGGAAAACTGTCAAACATCTAAACCAAATGATTTTGAACTTGTATCAGCCAGCAATTTTGAGATCAGGTAGACTTGAGTCTCTTAAATAAAACTACAGTTATATATATCATGTCAAATTTCAAAATCAACGTAAGTATAACTATAGTTGGGGACTAAATTCTGCTTTAATTGCTAGATTCTAGAGAAACAGCAGGATGGCAGCAGGGTTAGTGGATGCATGGGAAGAAGACATAATTGCAAACATTCTCCTTATGACCATTGGTAGTTTTACCCCCAAATGATGATGCTACCCAGTGTCCCATCGGGTTAGGATGTTGTCCTCACAACACTCCCACTTTCAATTACATTTATTCATTGTGTGTGTGTGTGGGGGGGTGCAGCTTGCAGGAGCCACTTCTCTCCTCCTACCCCACAGAATCATAGGCAGATCGTAAGACTTGGTGGCGAGTCCTTTCCCCCCTGAGCCGTCTCACCGGCTCCCACGCCCGCCATTTTGAAGAACCGCTCATTACTCTGTGAATTCCCCATGATGCTAAGTGCCAAGAGGTTTCCAGTTATTTTCCTGCATTGAACACCTTCCCCCTCTTCCTAGGTTAGTAATACAGTTACTGTTACACACTCTAGACTGGCCTGGAGCTCACTATGAAGCTGAGGCTGACCTTGAACTTCTGACTCTCCTGCCTCCGCCTCCACTAGGCTTGGCTCTGTGTGTGTCTGTGGATTGAACCTGGAGTTCTGTACACACTAAACAAGCACTCTACCAGCTGAGCTGTATCCTCAGCCCGCTGTGGGCTTCTGTCAGTTTCTTTTGGTTTTTCGTGTGTTTGTTTGTTTGTTTTTGACACAGTGTCTCATGGAGTCCAGACTGCTCTGAAACCAGAATATAGTTGAGGGTAAGCTTGAAGTCCTGGTCCTCTTGCCTTTACATTGCAAGTTCTGGGAAGACAGGTGTGCACCACCACAACTGGGAGATGTTTCTAGAATTCTACTGCATTCAGAGTCTACAGGGAGCCAGT